CCTCCAAATTGTAAGAATAAACTCCTGTTTGTTAAGGCCATCCCATTTGTGGTATATTCTTGTCAGAGTGGCACTAGGTAACCAGAACAACCTCTTTCTTGACTTTTTACAATAGCAGTCTCATAGAATACTTATTGTGTTGTAATTAGTTTCACACAGTATAATAGCCTCTAAGTTCATCATGTTATGAGATGTTTTGAAGATTCATCATTGTTCTTCAATATTGTGTAGTTTTCCATTCTGTGTATGTACCAGTTTGTTGATCCATTCTTCCGTTTATCAGTATTTGTTTCCATCTTTTTGCTATGAAATAGTGCTGCAATGAACACGAGTGTGCTCATCATGTCACAGCTCTTATTTCTCTAGGATATATACCTAGGAGGGCATTTCTATTTCTAGCTTTTTAAGGAAGCGCCATACCATTATCCACAGTGACTATACCATTTTACAGTTCCACCAACAGTGTGCATGAGTGTTCCAGTCTCTCCACAACCTTGCAAACATTTTTTTTTTTTTTTAACTTTGCTATTAGTGCTGTAATGGCTAAAGATCATGAGCACTTCTTTATTATGTTTGTTAGCTGCCTGAATGTCTTCTTTGGTGAAGTGTTTATGTCCTCTGCTCATTTTTTAATTGGATTATTTATCTTTTTGTTAAACTGTTGAGATTTTCTGTAAATTTTAGAGATTAGCCCCTTGTCTAATATGTCATTGCCAAAAATTTCTCCCCCGTCTGTGAGCTGTCTTTTGAATCTTTTGGTGAAATTTTTTGATTTGACTAAGTGTCTAATTTTTAAGAGGTCCTAGTCATCTATTTTGTCTTCTGGCATTTGCACATTTTTAGTTACATTCGATATGTATTATCTCCTGAATTAGGGCCCCTAAATTTGTCTCTATTTTTTCTGATGGTCTTTATGATGGTTTTAGGCTTTACATGCAGGTCTTTGATTAATTTTGTATATGGTGTGAGATATGGGTCCTGTTCCATTTTTCTGCAAATGGATATCCATTTTGCAAGCACCGTTTATTAAAAACTCTCTCTTCCCCATTTAATGAATTTTGGCCCTTACTTTTCCAGGGTCTCTTTCCTTTCCATATACAGCTGTTGATTAGTTTTTCTATGTCTTTAAAGAAAGATGATGGAATCTGGATCGGGATTGTTTATCTGTAGATCACTGTGGGTAGTAGTGACATTTTCATGTTAAATCTTCCTACCTATGAGCATAGTATGTTGTTGTTATGTGCCATCGAGTCGGACCTGACTCATAGCGACCCCTCCTTGGGTTTCCGAGGTGGTACCACTATTTAAGTAGATTGCCCAACCTTCCTTCCAATGAGTGGCTGGTGGATTTGAATCGCCAGCATCTGGTTAGCAGTCAAGTGCCTTAGGCACTATGCTAGCAGAGTTCCTGATCTTGTAATAGTAGCTTATAATTTTCTTTGTACAGGTCGTCTGTGTCTCTGGTTAGATCTATTCCTAAATACTTCATCTTTTGGGTGGTTGTTATAAATGGTATTGCTTTTCTGATTTCCTTTTCAGAGTTCTCTTTATAGTGTAAAGCATTTAGATTGATTTTTGTCATGCTGGTCTTGTCACCTAACACTCTGCTGAAACTATCAATTAGTTCCAGTAATTTTCTCAGAACAATGTTTTTTAAGTGCATAAAATACATAGAATTATGAAAGAAACCAATTATACTGCTATAAATACAAATTTATATATAGTTATAAATATGCTTCTTTATTACTACTTTAAATAACAAGATCTAGCATCAGGTCTACTAATGACCATAATTTCAAAGCAATGATGAACATAAGCATTATTTCAAGGTCTCCACAATTCTAATTTGATATGAATAGAATTGTATTTTCTACTGTTGACAAAGTCACAGATACTGCTAATACTACTGTGGTTTGCGGCCTACATTTATAATTGAAAGATATATTATGCACATTTTTGGTGAGACGTTATCAAAAATAAAGATATCATTTTTTTCCCATCTAAATTCATGGATACTCTGAATTCTAGACACAGTCCTCAAGAGTGAAGAACTCCTGGTCTAAACTGGGACTTTATCATAAAGGCACATTTATCTCGTTCACCCCTGCAGCAGGGAAAATAATGAGGAACCATCAAATGCTGGTATGTTAGAGACAACAGGATTTTCTATGTTGGCTATACAGGTATGAAAGAAACAAGTCAATAATGACTAATGTTTCTGTCCTGGAAAACTGTAAGGAAGATAGTGAACACTGAAGGAAGACCAAATTTTAGTGAGGAAAACAGGAATTTTGTTCTAGTCATGCTATAGTCTGACATACCTATTAGACAATGGGTAGTTTAGATTTTCTTTTTTTTTTTTTAAATCACATATATTAATTTTCGGCCAGTTCTAATGAAAATTCTCATTTCTTAGCTACTTTGGGTATGAATTCATAGGAAAAAAACCACTTTTCAGAAAACTGCTCAAGAACTCAATCGAGTCCAATAATAGTAAAGGATCCTTGTATCTAATCCGTCTCATTATAAGCATTATGGAGAGAAATAAAGCAGGGGAAGGGAGATAAAGGGCTTTTAGGGATGACAATGTGTCCATCGGACCTGACCCACAGCGACCCTTCCTTGGGTTTCAACCACCAGCCTTCTGGTTAGCAGTTAAGTGCCTCAGGCTCTATGCTACCAGAGCACCTAGGGATGACAATAGGAGCTAATTTATAAAAGGTGGCTAAGGAAACACTTCACTGATAAGCTGGCCTTTGAGCAGAGAACTGAAAGAAACAGAGAAACAAGTTATGTGGACATATGGGTAACTTTCCAAAGAGAAAATAGCTTGGAAAAAGTACTAAGAGCACGGAGGTACTAAAATGGGAGCATGTTTGTTGGAAAGTGACCTTGGTGGGAGCATGTATGGTAACACTGGGGAGTAACAAGGAAGTCAATGTGTTTAGAATAAAGTAAATGAAGAAGAAAGTAGCAGATGAGGTCAGAAAGATTGGGGTTGGCAGGAAGATCGTGTAGGTCCTTGTAAACTATTTTGAGGTCTGGTCTTTAGCTTTTACTGTAAGGGCATTCTAACACTTAGAGGTCAGGGCGATAAGACTGGCACAGTAAAAAAGACTGAGAAAGGGAGGTGCCAGGGAGAATTCAAAGCTTCCATCATCTAAATATGACCAGGGATAGGGGACTGTGGATAGCTGGAGAGAGCCGCCTTGAAACATATGGAAATATGGGCCAGAAAATAGGTAATGAAATTGGAAATTTGAGAAATTATTTCAGCAAAACAAGGGATAAAAAGGAGTAAGGGCCTAGTTGAATTTGAAAGCATGGAAGTGAACAAAACGCATGTCTCTTAGCAGATTACCAAAGGAGAGGGGGAAAAAAAAAGCTAAACACAGTTTTATATTTAAATACCACCTTGTGAAAATGGAGGCGAAAGATACCAGGCAGAGTATAAGTCCTTACAGATAAGTCTTTATGTCTTTTTGGTTCACTGAACTTAATCTAATATCAGAGCCCAGAAAAAGAATACAGTCAAACTCTACATGCAACTTCAAGAGTTAACATACCCCTTGAAAACCCAAAGTTTAACCCAAATTAAGAGACCCTGTTCTATAACCTGCCCTCTCCCTACTGTGATTTTTCACTACTCAACTTCAGCACTATCTGTACCACTTACTATTGAACATGAACTGCCTTGTTACATTCCTAATACTCTGCTACCTTATTTAACTGTTACCATTATACTTAATCTTCAAGTAGAGAATAAACTCCTGGGAGTCAGGGGTCAAATCTGACACATCTTTGGGGTTATCTGTCTTAAAACAAAGCAAGGCTCAAATAAATATTCAACAATGAAGAGATGTCTGACTGTTGAAGTCCAAAGTATACCAGATGGCCAAAGGAAGGAGAAATGCTTTCTAGGGCTTAGGTATGTTAGCCAGATCCCTTTAATTATGATGCTAGCCTGGGGTTGGGGGTGCTCCTTTCCCCATCAACACCTACAAAAAATTCAAAAATCCTCTACAATCTGCTCTGAACCTACTTATATCCTGCCCAGGGCAACCCCTTCCCGCATTTGTTCGCTGGAAAGGAAAGCCACATTTTCCAGACAATAACTGGAAACTCAAAACCTTAAGACGAGACTATGAGTAAAGAGCAACGCAAGCACTAGGCCTCTGGAATATAGGCGGGGAGAACGCACAGTGAGTGAGGAAATTTTCGTTTGAAAGAGAAAGGAAGGCTCTGGAGCAGCAGACACGAACAATCGAGTCTTCCTCCCCGCAGAGCCATCCCCTGGGCGACGCTAACTAACCACGCACTGTTCCTCCCAGCAGCCGAAGTTGCAGTCTGTCCCCCGCTCCTTGGCATCTCCGGGGTAAGAAGGCAGGCAGCGCGCAAGAGGGCAGCGCCCGGGAATAGGGACCTTACCTCTCAGCGATGTAAAGGGTGCCGGTGCCAAGACCCTTCCCGTCCAACACAACCTCGGTATCTGGCTGCTGCTGCCGGAGTCCCTCAGCAGGGCTGGGTGGTGGGAAACTTTTGAGGAAGCTCATTGCACCAGGAAGGGGCGAGATACACACCACAACCAAGCTGAAGCGACGGCCACCAGCGCTTGCCGCGTCTCGCCCCGGAAGCGGTGGAATCACCCCGGTAGAACAACTTACTATGGGCCGGAATTTCAGCTCGGTGAACCATAGAGACAAGCCGTTCTAGGAAAAACTCTCGGAGGCCTGAGAAGACCAAGACGAGTTTGTCACATGACACCTTCCTCACGCATGTCATTTTTGAGGATCTAGGCTTGTGCTCTGGTGGCTTAGTGCTTAAGGCATTTGACTGCTAACCAGAGGGTTGGTGATTCATGACGCACCCGCCACGCTGGAAGGAAGACTGGGCAATCTACTTCCCTGAAGATTTACCGCCTGGGAAAAACCAAGGGGGTCATTATGAGTTGGAATCCACGTGATGGCAGTGAGTTTGAGGCTTGGAATAACGTTCTCCCACCTTTTATTTCAGGGTCGTCAGAGCATCACTGAGAGAGAGGAAGCAAAAGGAATACTATCTCTTTCACTCCAAAAGAGTAAATAAGAGACCTGAGACATGGAGTTCCTTGTCAGGATACATATGGAGCAGAGACCACACGGATCTAGATGTCGGAAGTCTCCTAACTCGGTTCAGGGCTTTACTAACCTAGTCTTGCTGCACCTGGAACTGTTTATATCTCAATTCTACACAACCATTCACCAGACAGGAATCTAGGACCAGATGTGGTCATATTACAAGTCTCAGGGGAAATGAGCACAGAGCGGTCATTAAATCAGGGTGAAGAGAAGGCTATTGTCGGTAAGAAGATAGGATGCAGAGGGAAAGAAACTCCACCGGTCTTCATTAGCGCAATAGGCATTTTAAAAGTAAAATAATTAAATTAACGAGTGTTATGTGCCAGGCATTGTTTTAGGCACTTTACACAAATTATTAGTTCATTTAAGGAGCTCTGGTGGCACAGTGATTAAAGCGCTGGGCTGTTGACCCAAAGGTGAGTCCTTTGAACCCAACAGATGGTCTGTGGGAGAAAAGACATGGCAGAAAATACCTGGCAAGGTGCTTCCATTAAGACTATAGTCTAAGAAACCATATGAGGCAATTTTACTCTGTCCTATAAGATCACTGCTTGAGTAATTTCTCTTAGATCAGCACAAGGCCAGTCCCTAAGAGGCGGAGGTTAAAGATGTCCCAAATGTCCAACTTATCCAAACTGCGTGCCACTCCAGCATGTCTGACATCAACTTCTCCTCCCCTCAATAATCTCCCTCCCATTTTAGGATTTGTAGTTGGCTGTAATGTCTCATGAAACTCATAAACTCCCAAGGGAACAGCTCATGTGGTGGTGGTGGTGGCGGTGGTAGAGGCTGGGAGGCTGGCAAGTCCTAGGTCTGTGGGTAGGTCTGGAAGATTCTCCCAACTTGCATGGTTGCAGGGGTTGGCGAACCCTTATCGGCAGATCAAATGATAGTTGCTGTCTCAAGTCCAGGGCTGAAAAGATGACGAACCAAAGCAGAACCAGAGCAAGAGAGAGAACCTTGCCAGAGCATTCACATACATACCCTCAAAGAAGCTAAGCATGGTGACTGGAGTCACACCTTCCAGCAAGGCAGGACTCAAGATACATTCCACCCTAAACAGGCATAGAGAATGGGATTTAAGTGGTTAAATACATCATAAAATGGGTGGTGACTTGAATCATACCCTCCAGCAAGGTGGGCCTCAAGATGTATCCCACCCTTAACATGCATAGGGATTAGGATTTACAATACATCACAAAATGGAGGATGAGGCTAGAAGGACTATATTAACCAATTCACTGCACTACAGTTACTATTAGTTGGAATAAACTCCCCAGCACACAACATTAGTTCATTTATTCTTTAGGACAACTTTATGAGGAAGTTACTGTTGATCCAATTTTACAGATAAGAAACCTGAGCATGAAACGCAAGAGCAAGAGTTTGGCTATGAGAGACCTAGTGTAATCCAAGTCAGTCAATCTTTCTAGACTCCATTTTTCTTGCCTATAATTCACTATGATCATACTATGCCATAGGATTGTTGAGACTAGAGGACCAATATGTGAGGAAGTCTTATTTTTATCTTGTAAACAGCTAGGGAAGTGTTAGAGAGTTTTCAGCTGGGATTAGTTTGTTGGTAGTGAGAAGGATGAACTATTATGCATATAAGGTGATTGAAAATACCATGGCTTGGGTTAGGCAGACCTTAGTCTTCGAAATGACTTTGCTTCTTAACACCTTAAAGAGGTCTTTTGCAGCAGATTTGCCCAGTGCAATATGACATTTGATTGCTTGAGTGCTGCTTCCATGGCTGTTCATTGTGGATCTAAGTAAAATGGGTTCCATGACAACCTCCATCTTTTCTCCATTTATCATGATGTTACTTTTTGGTCCAGTTGTGAGGATTTTTGTTTTCTTTATGTTAAGGTGTAATCCATACTGAAGAGTGTAGTCTTTGATCTTCATCAGTAAGTGCTTCAAGTGCTTTCACTTTCAGCAAGCAAGGTTGTGTCATCTGCATATCACAAGTTGTTTGAGTCTTCCTCCAGTCCTGATGCCATGTTCTTTATATAATCCAGTTTCTCAGTTATTTTATTAGCTTACATATTAAATAAGTATGGTGAAAGGATACAACCCTGACACACACCCTTCCTGATTTTAAACCATGCAGTATATCCCTTTACTGTGTTCAAACAACAGCCTCTTGGTCTATGTACAGGTTCCTCATGAGTAAATTAAGTGTTCTATAATTCCCATTCTTTGCAGTGTTACCCATAATTGGTTTTGATCCACATAGTAAAATGCTTTTACATAGTCGACAAAACATAGGTAAACATCTTTCTGGTATTCTTTCCTTTCAGCCAAAATTCATATGACATCAGCAGTCATAGCCTTTGTTCCTTGTCCTCTTCTGAATCGATCTTGAATTTCTGGAAGTTCCCTGTCAATATACTGCTGCAACTGTTTCTTAATTATCTTCAGCAAGATTTTATTAATGATATTGTTCAATAATTTTCACTTTCTATTGGATCTCCTTTCTTTGGAATGGGCACAAGTATCTGTCTCTTCCAGTCAGTTGGACAGGTAGACTTCCAAATTTCTTGGCATAGATGACTAAGTACCTCCAGCACTGCATCGGTTTGTTGAAACATCTCAGTGGATAGTCCATCAATTCCTAGAGCGTTGTTTTTCACCAATTCCTTCAGTGCAGCTTGGACTTCTTCTTTCAATACCATTGATTCTTGATCATATGCTACCTCCTGAAATAGCTGAACATCAACCAATTCTTTTTGATAAAGTGACTCTGTGTATTCCTTCCATCTTCTTTTGATGCCTCTTGCATCATTCAATGTTTGCTCAAAGATTAGATTCCCCAAATAATACTGGAAGAAAACTGGCTACCACCAGTCAGTATCTGGTAATTTCTTATTAAGTTCCTCTAGTTTTCATAGTGTTGTTTTTGAAGACATTTTATCCATACTTTATAGCTTAAGAAAAGGGATCTTAGTTATGAAAAGGAGCTCTTCAAATACCTGATACACTGCTAGGCTCAGAAGAGGCACTTACAGAATTTGAACCTTTTGCTTCTTATATAAATCTTTGTGGGAAATAAAGCAGTAGGCACTGAATAAATCTCAAATTTTACAGTCTTTTAATTAAAAAAAAAAAAAAAAAACTTTCTCAGGACCAGGTTTGCTGGTCTGATAGAGCCTGAAGGAACCACTGAGACCACCCCTGGCTGTCCAGGTCTGGAATTGAACCCACTCCTGTGGCTTCCAGCCCAACAAAAGACAAGTATATGAGCTGCACATTTACATTAGGTAGATACACTCCTTGGAGAGATCAATCATGGGAGAATACAAGGGCTAGTTATGCACAGGGTAACAGCTGGTGTGGTGTAAGAGTACTTGGGAGGGAAGGACACAGGGAAGAGGTAACTATGGGGAGGAAGTGGGAGGGGAGCTGTTGCATTGTGGGAAACTGCAGTGTCATGAGACGAAGTGTATGTGAGCTGCTGTATGGAAAGTGAATTTGCTCTGTAAACTTTCACCCAAATCACAATTAAAAAACAAACAAACATGCTTTCTTACCCATTATGTTCTTTGACCCTTAGAGTAAATCTGTGAAGTAGGCAGGGTGACTGTTATGTCCATTTTATAGATGAGGAAACTGAGGACCAGAGAAATTAAGTGACTTATTCAAGGCTATATTACTAGTTGTTGTTTGGTGCCATCAAGTCAGTACTGACTCACAGTGATCCTATGTACACTGTACAACAGAACAAAACACTGGCCAGTCCTGGGTCATCCTTACAATTGTTGCCATGTTTGAGCTCATTATTGCAGCCACTGTGTCCGTCCATTTCATTAAAGGTCTTTCTCTTTTTTGATGACACTGAGGTAGAAATTAAATTCCTGACTTTTTTGTAAGTCTAGAGTTTTCCACTACAAACCACTATCTCTTAGAACTACCTAGCAGGGGATTATAAACATTCCTGCTTTTTGGTGATTGAAAGAATTATGATTTTGACTTTTTTTTTTTCTCCACACGTAAATACGCCCATGTATAACACACATGGGAGCTCTGGTGGCATAGTGCCTAAGGCATTTGACTGCTAACCAGAAGGCTGGTAGTTCAAACCCGCAAGCCGCTCCTCGGAAGGAAGACTGAGCAATCTACTTTTGTAGTGATACTGCCTTGGAAACTCAAGGAGAGGTCACTTTGAGTCAGATCTAACTCAAT